TGTGCTGGTACCTGGTTTTATGGCTTCATGTCCCACACGAGCTCGGAGCTCATCTGGTTGTGAGCATTTCCCCTAACTGTTGTTGTCTTGTTTTCATTTGTAAGCTTTCTCCTCTTTTCCTCATGAAGAGTTACACAGTGGATGATGTCAGGAGCAGAGTCAGGAATTCAAGGAGAACTGCTGAGCTTGTCCTCACTTGACTCGCTCATGTCTCTCACCCTGACAGCCCATGTTAGCGAAGATGACAGCGTGTTAGCCGGAAAAAATAAATTTGCTGCTACTTGAGGAATTGGCTAATTGTTACATGCCTCAGTTTCCCTGTTTAAGAATCTGGTTTTAAGTCTTTAAAGCTGCCTGTCTTCTCCCAAGCTTGCACCTCTTTCAAACAGGCAAGAATTTTGTTAAAAGTCCTCTGCAGCAATGCTGTCGTGAATCCAATGCTGCTTCCTGCAGACAGGCTCCAAGTGTCTTTCTACGCATCACTGGGAGAATGGCCTGCATAACAGAATAGGACTCTAAATTTTCTTGATTTTTCCTTTTTTTTTTCTTTTTTTTTTTTTTTTGAGGTTCTGTCACAGATTTGGAAAAAAGTCTGGTAAAATTGTGTATAAGGGATAGTGAAACAGTTAAGTCATGTTAGAGTTGTTAGAATTTCTGCTGCTGATGCATGTGTTTGGTTTCTTTTCTAAAGAATGGTTTTCTTTTTAAAAATACACATAATGGACCTTCCATTTTAGACAAATATCCCTTTTTTCGATGGTGGGGTTTTTTCCCAGTTAATGTCTCTTTTAGTGGGAGCTGCCATACTCTTTCCATCTGATCTCTGTGCCCTCACCTCTGAGTGTTTCCTTTTCAGGAAGGAGATGGATGCTGGTGCCAGCAGACAAACTTCAAAAGCTTCAAATGCAGGGAAGTGTCACAGTTCTGAGGCATTAGGAATGAGAAAAAAACCCCAAACAAAACAAAACCCCCCAAAAAACCCCAATACCAAACCCCCTTAAACTTTTACTGCCTTGCAAAGATGACAGGAAAACTTGCTTCTTGGTTCCTCTACTCCTTGTCATGCTAAAGTACTGAAACTGAATAATCCTGTCATCCCCTAAAAAGAACTTGAGATATTTAGGAGCGCTCAATAATTTTAAAAGAAAATAGGATGTTTTACCTGTTGAATGCTACAGTTATGCTGTCAGACTCGGTGACTTCAAATGGGACTTTGGGTGCTGCTTAGCTGCAGGACACAGATGATGGCTCCTTTCCTCCATATGCCATCCTATTGCTGGTGTTTTTCACACTACAGGTCCAAGTGGTACCCAGTAGTTGTGTTCACCCCCATCCCCAGGACCCAGCTCCAGACATCCTCGTGAAGCTGAGTTTGAATTAGGTGATGTTTTTCTGTCCCAAGCCTCCTAAGAGCCTATTGAGAGGCAAGGGGAATGGTGTTTTTTTTCCCAAGAGCGGCTGAATGCAATGCCCTAGTTACCATGGTTTTTTAAATGGAGTACTTCAGAGGATGCACAAAAGCATCTTTAGTACTTGCAGTACAAGGAGAATGAAAGGACCTAGATTATGTCAGCACTGCAGAGGAGGCTTAAGTGAGTGTCATTCATTCATTGTTAGGAGATGACCCAATTTGGATTGTATTTACGGAGTGGGAGTGGAGAATGGACCTGTTTCAGATTACTTTTGAGCCTTAAATGTACTTACAGGCTTTGTGTAGGGATTGCATTGGCTCCCGCTGGGTAAACAGAGCCTTTTGGAGGGTGTTGCCCATGTACTGCCTGAGTGATACATCCTGCCCTTCCTGGCTAGACGTGTGCTGCCAGAACGGGTTGATTCATGCCACAGTCTCTCCACATGGCAGTGTATTGGATGGGGGAAAAATGAGTTGTCAGACAGAACTTGCCCAGCTATTTTTTATTTATTTTATTGCATTTTCTTGCAAGGCCTTTAAAGCCTCCTGTTACTATATAATTGCAGACTGGTTCCAGCCAAGCAGATCCTTAGCTGAAGGCTGTGACCCTGCAAAGGGCTGATGAAGGTAATAGGTTGTGCAGCCTTCACACAGTGAGATGATTCTCTTTTTGTTTTTTCCTCCTCATCCTTTCTGTAAAACAGTGGATGGTCTGTTTAAAACAACACTTGTGTCATGGTCTGCTGCCTCCTTCTTTTCACCTGGCTGTGTTGGCAATGTCTGCATCTCCTTCTGGAAGGCTGCTTCCTATCTTTTCAATGATTTTGGTCCTGCTGAGAGGAATACATGATCTGCAGATCCCATGAAGGATGTAATTTCTCAGATTTTCTTTTTTTTCCTTGCAAGGGTTCCTGAAGCCATCACATCAAGCTCAACCCTGAGATAATATAAACTGCTTTGAGAAGTGTCCATAGCAGAAGCTTCTGTGGGCTTAAACCCATCTGCAGATTTGTGAGGGCAAAGTAAGCTGACAAATGTGAAAAACTCGTAAGGAACAGGAGCTAGGAAGAGCACAGCCTTTCCAGCAAACACTATTTTCTGGTTCAGATGGTCCTTGTATGAAGAGCAGTGGAAACTTGGCTGTCCTTGTAAAGTCATTAACAGCATTCTCATTCATTTCAGTGGAGCCTGGGTTGCAATCCTCAGCTAACCAATGCTTTAAGCCCATGCCTCTTCCTCTGGAGAGACTCATCCACCTTGCATCCTCCACAGGATGCTTTTAAAAGGAGCCCCTTGTCACTGAAGAGGTGGAGAAAGGCATCCATCCCTTCCCGTAGCTGTCCCAGCAAGCTACAGTCTGGTGAGCTCCAAGGGAGCTGTATCCCAGCTCTCATGGTATACAGCAGGATGCTCGCTGGAACACTCGCTGGAGGAGGAGAGGGCTGCAAGCACTTGAGGAGACTGTCTGGATTTGCTCCTTTGAAGATACCATCAGCTGCAAAGCCTGGATGCATCCAAGCACAAGTGCATCCAAGTCCAGGCTGTGCTGGCACCACCTGACAACTTAAGGGAAGCTGTTGTTCTGTCAACATCTGCATCCAATGCTTTTAGGTTTACAGAGAACCTGCTGGCTGGGAAAGCTTCTCTGTTGAGGGAAAAAGTACTAAAATTATGTTAAATGCAGGTGTAGTGCACTGCTGGAGGTGAGGGTGTGTGGATGGTCTCACAGGTCAAGGTCCCAGGGGTCTGCCAGCACAGCACACCAAGGTCAGAGCAGCACCAAGTTGCCTGCAGCAACTACAGAGTGTGTAGGGGCAAACTGGCATTTCCTCCTTTTCCTGGCTTCCTCAGAAGTACAGATGGCAGGTTTTGATAACTAAAGGCTTCATAGAGAGGTCTGTCTGGCATGGGAGATGTGAATCTGAGTTCAGGATTGGATGAGTCCCTTTTCTGATGTAGGAGCTTTAGGCTGGTTATTCTATTCAGTTTTATTTTCCTTCCCGTTTCTTTATTTTTTTTTAATCAAATTTCATACTATTGGTCCAAGTAAATTATAATGAAAATTGAGTAATTTTTCCTACCTCTTACACTGCCACTGGTGTGTGTACTTAGTAGTTTAATGAAAAATGAGGCAAGGCAGAACTCATTTTGCTCTCATATGGCCAAGCTGGCTCTGCATGCCTTAGCAGTAAGATGGGATAGTAATCGGGTGTGATGTTGTGGTCTTTAGGGGAAGACCACAGGAAGCACATTGTATTCCTTTGAACAGGATGGAGCCTTTCACATGATTTTTTTTTTTTTTAAATAATTCTGTAATCTTGATCTGTTATCTAATAGCAGGAAGACTCCCTAGACTTGAAAACATATTTCATCTGCTCAGGGAGCAAAAGACTCCATCTTTGTCTGTCTGGAGAGCCCTGGCTTTGCCTGTGGTGCCTTTTTTGGCAGATGCTTGGGGGTTGCCATGCCCAGTGCCATGCATTGAGTCACCTTTAACTTGCATTAGGGCTGGAAGGTTTTTCCTCTGTTGCTGTTGGCTTGCCTCCGAGGTATGTTGTGGGCTGTGCAGTGCTTGCTTGCATGGACCTCCCCTGAACTCCCTCCACTGTGTCTCTCATACCTGAGAAGTTGCTGCAGAGCAGCTTCCCACTGCTGCTTCCCACTTGGTGAAATGTCCATAGGGCAGTCTGTTGTTCATTGGTCCTGACTGAAAAGCTGACTCCTTCCAGAATTCACTGGGATTTCAGAGGAATTATAAAATACCTTTAATGTCAGTGGCTTTGTATCAGGAGGATTGATTACTACTTTTTCCTTCATCCTGCTCACTTTTCTCTTAGACTTCTTAGGCATGTGCAGATTATAATTTAATTTCCTCTTGAATTTAACAACTTTAAAAGGACTAAAATCAGCTGCTGGTTGGAATTGTGATTGGAGATGCGGAAACTTTCACGCCTTTCTCTTCTACAGCAGATAATGCTTCAAGTGCAAAGGAGAAGGGGTGGTTGTGGGGGGGGGGGGCCTGTCCTGTAAAGCAGTCCACTGCATGTCTGCAGCCAGAGTCGTTTCAAGCCCTATGGAGTAACGTTTGGGATACCCTTTTAATCTCACATATAACCCTTTAGCTTTTAAAGAGCACAACTGAGCCTGCTTCATTATCTTGCCAAGTTTGAGTTGCACGTGCTGTGGTCCACAAGCCCAGAGAGTGGCTTTTCTGCCACTGCCCTTATCCCTGGTGCTTGTAACCTGGTTTCAGTGCAACACCCCTGTCTACTTTCTCCTAATAATTTCATGCACCCCTTCACACTAATTTGTATGGGTTAGAAACCCTACGGAGTTAATTTTCTACTTGCTGGAGAGATGTAGTCCTAAATTAACTGAGGCAAGACAGACAGGACTCTGACAGCCCTGCCAGTTTTTCATATGCCGGCAGCGCATCAAGGGTAGAAACAAGTCTGGTGGCTTGCCAGGATGAGGTTATTAGTGTATTGCCACAGGGTGGCAAGATTCAGGGGACACAGCCTTAGAAAGTTGGGCTGTAGTACTTAAGGTGTCCACAAAACAGGTAACACGTGTGCTCCGCTCTTTTCAGAGGTTGTGGGGTGGTGCAGCCACACAAGGACCTGCTACATGGAAGGGAGAGCCTGTGGATTGACTCTGACCAGCCACACAGAAATGGGACGTCCTTGAGCATCCCTTAAGCGTTTCTGGGCGCGGAAGTCCAGGCAGCCTGGAGCTGGCTTGCTCATCACCTGGCTCAGCTCCTCACTGTTGCATCCTGAAACTCTGGGGGAGCTTGAGCTCTTTTCTTGGAGGTTCTTGAAAGAAAAAGGGCAAAGTGCTACAAACCACAACAGCTTCCACTCTAAAAATACCATAAAAGGCTGTGTCCTTAGAAGCTGGGCATAGGAGCAGTTCCCACCCACATTACAGCAGCATGAGTCACCAGGCTATTGCAACTGCTTTCCATGTGGATGCCCGGCTAAAGATGCACCGAGGAACAGAGGGAGGGAGGAACGGGAACTGCTCTGTAGTGCTGTGGAAGCGGTGAAGAGTTACAAAGAAGAGGATGACATGCAGGCACACGTGAAACTTGACCTTTGCTTTCCTTTTGTCAGGTTTTTGGTTGATTGTTTGGGGTTTCTTTGTTTGTTTTTTGGAACTTGCAGCAAATGCTGTTTGCTGATGATTTGAGCCTAAGGCATTTGCAGCCAAGAGTCTTCTGAATACGCAGAAACCCCAGTTTGCTTTTAGGAATCACAGTAATTGCCACATTAATAATATGAAGCTGGAAAACCCCTCTGACGTGGAAGTACGTTTTATTTACTCTCTTTAAGCAAAGTTTTTCTCTCTCTATCCTCCTCGTTTTCATCTTCTCTCTCATACCTGGAGCAGAAATGGGCTGTGTGTTCTTGTGACAGATGGTATAAAAGCACATCTGCCTTGCGCTGCTTGCTGCTCTTACCCTGCTTTTTATCCAACAAGCAGGTATTAGGGAGTAAATTAGGGTTTGTTTAGGTTCCTTTCCTGAGACTCCACCCACCTGCCCAGGCCCCAGCAAGGCTACGGTTATTGTTTTCCCTTTTCCTTCCCTTCTACTTGACGTCTTGGCTATCGGGCTTTACCGGAATAACTTTGTCAGTGAGAAATTCTATAAAAAGCTTCCTTTATTTAGACACCGACCCAGTAATGACATCATGTGGACACGTCTTCCAAGTTCCACCAGGCTGAGCGGACGGAGGGAGGCGGTGGCTGTGAAGCTGAGCCCTGCCTCTTTCCCAGTACACCCCTGTGGTTCTGCTCAGTGGATGTCCTTCGAAATTACTCCAGACCCCCCAGCACACTTCTGCATCTCCTTTAGGAAACTTTTTGGTGGTATAATATGGTGTGGTGGTCTGGTTGTCTTCCTGCTCATCCCTTTCAGGTTAGTCCTCTGAAGTGCTTTTTGGTGGGTACTCACCCTGACTTCTCAGGGCAGTAGAAGGCTTGCACACTCAGTCACTTCGATGCCACTAAGTTTTGCATCAGGCCAGTTTCAAATAACTTTGACAGGAAAGCAGGTGGACTAAAGGTGCGAATGCCTACATGGACAGGCACAAAGAAGTGGGAGTGGGCATGTATGAGATGTACTGCTTATTTTATGGTGGAGGGAAGGGGGCAACAGGGCAAGAGGTGGCCACCTGGGCAAGGTTTCTGTACCTTCTGGAGAAGATATTCTTGGAGAAGTTATGTGGATTTCATCTACATCTTTGGAGGAAAAGGCGTGCTGTGGTGTGCTGAGCTTCCCCTTGTACATGCTTAGTTTGTTAAAATGTTGTCACAGGCATTTCCTTACCTACCTGCAGTAATTCCTGGGTGTTTTTCTATATGATCAATTGACCAGAGCTTATTTAATCAATGGAAAGGTACAAAAGTCTCTGCTGGGGGGCATTTAATTGACCTTCCTTAATTCTGCTCATACTGCTGTTGAAGGAAGCCATAAGGTTGCTGTACATCATGGCTATTGCCCTTTAGAGCTGGGAGTTTTTGGGCAGCACACTAACCACTTCTGTCTGTATATAACACAGATTTTCCAGTCATACCTAGTTTCTGGGTCAGATGAGAGGCATTTTCCAGCCCTGTGCTGATTACTTGCTCTGTACTGCTGCTCTCTTTGTTGATGTTTTCTCCTTCCCACACTCACCACCTCTGTACTCTGAAGTATTAAAAAACCAAAAATAAATCCATATTGCACAAATACTTTGCAACTTGGTATGTGTGGCCAAAATACTTTGTTCTCTTTAGAAAGTTATTTTGCAAAGTTAGGTGGTGATAGAAGAAAATACGGATTTGCAGGTGCCAGTTTCTGACAGTATCTTGCCTTGAGGTAGCACAGAAAAGTGGGATCTTTGAGGAAGCAAACAAGGTCTTTTCCTGAGGTCTCTTGCTGTGTTCCCTGGCAAAAAAATCCAGTGTTCAAAATATAACCTTAATTAAAAAACAAACAAATATGTTTTTACCATTGGGAAGTGACATCTGATAATGTTTTCTCTAAAGAAGGGGTGTGGGGATTGGGTATTTTTAGCTGCAGCTATTCTCAAGTTGTTTTCTGACCTTCTGCTAATAATACATTTCTTTAACACTTTCTTTAGAGTTTTGGTAGTTCCAGAAGATTTTCCAGAGAAAGATAGGGGGAGAAGAAGAAGGAGAAGAGGAGAAGCAGTAGAACTATTGAAATCTGTTTTCTGTTCGATTTTGGTGCCTAAAAGGGTGCAGTGTTGGAGTTGGGTGCATCTTGTGAGAGACCTTTCCCAGGTGAGAGGGAAAAGCTTCAGCTTTTCCTCTGACCTGTGGGCAGCTGTGAGATTGACACTGCCTGCTTCTTGAAAGCAGTTGAAAACAACATCAAAAAAGTGAATTGGGACAAGATTTTGTAGTTGAAAGGGGAAAGCTTGGACAGAGGAATGATGTGCTGATGGAGAGGCTGTAGTCCAGGAATCTCATGGGAGGGCAGGTGTAAGGAATGGCAGTTTAAATTTCAGGTCTTTGTGGTTTGGGCTGTGGCTGACTGTCTGGGAGCTCTTGGGATTTACCTGCAGATGTTGTCCCTGAGATAAGAGAGCCAATAAATTTCCGTGTAAAACCTGCAGGTCATCATGAGTCCACAGTCTGCTGGGCTTCTCCTGGCCTGTTGTTGATAGACTGAAAAGCCAGCACAGATCCTGAGAGTCAAAGAAGCTGGTCCTGGGCTTTTGTGAACATCAAAGAGGCTGTGAAAAAGCTTCTCAAAGAGAGGTGGTATGAAAAGGAGGAGAGGAGTAGTGTTTTCAGGATGGGTTGCTGATGCTGTCTATCTCTTGGTGGAGATGATCTGGCTTTCCAGAGTGAACAGCACAGTTAGGTGTTTCCCCGAGCTTGCCTCTGATGGCACTGTGGAAGGAAAACAATTAAGCTGAGTGTAAATAATAAGGACACGTGATGTGAGGGCAAGTGAGCAGGAGTAAGATGGGCAAGAGGTGTCTGCACTGCATCTGTGGTGTGCTGCTCCATCACAGTGGGCATCAGGGAAGTTGAACCCGGTGGTGGGGCTGGAGAGGTGTTTGGCTTAGGCTGAGCCTGGGAAAGGGACAAGGAAGGTGTTTTAAGTCGTTGTTTACTTGTTTCTATTTATTTTATTTTTCAAAATCCAGATCAGTTGTCAGTGGTTTCTGCTAATTGTCAATAAATGAAATGAAATTAAGGAAAGAGTCCCTGAACTGAGGCTGTTTTGCTTTCCAGCAAATCCTTTCATGCTGTGGTGCCTTTCTAATGACCACAGGCACTGTCAGAAGTGACAGACCGACCTATTGAAGGTGTTGACACTGCATGTGGTCACTGGTTCAACCCTGAGTAAAAAAAAAAAAACAAACAGGATTGCAGCTCCCCAAAAAACTGAACCCACATCCTGCAGCCGCTGGCTGTGGATGGTGGGCTTGTGGGGGTGTTTGCAAACCCCACGCTGCTCCAGGGCCGGGCAGGACTTGCCCCAGTAAAGGGGATTTTGCTTGAAAGGGGTTGGTTATGGATCATTCAACATTAGAAACTTGCTGAAGTGGCTTTATGCCAAAGTGATGGCCAGAGTTAAAACCTGAGCTTTCTGAATGAGACCTCCTGGGATCTTACATCAGGAAAGAGTGGAAGGCTGGTGCTGAGCTCCTGCAGGAGCCTGTTGTCCATGACTCTACGTTTTCCCTTGTGTTTATTTTGGGGCATAAAGTGGTTATCTGGGTAATGCTTTCGTTGCAGGGAATCCCTGCATGTATATGAAAGCTGTTTGGGCTTAGCAATGTCTGTCATGGTCAGATTTCAGTCAGGAGTCTGCAAGATATCAGCTTGGGGTACCATAGTTGAACGTTTCATATCTTGAATAATACTTAAACTTTTGGTGCCCTTCTTAGATGTAGGACCTGACATTTGATACTCTGGCTGCTTAAAAAAAGACTAAATTAAAAATAAAAGGTGACTAAGTATTGCTTTTTTTGGTAAGCTTGGCACCCTGTTTCCATCTGACACTTGTGTTTAATTCTTTATCATCACTCACTTAGCAGAAATGCCATAGGCTTAATGCCTGGTGTGAGAGTGTTTCCCTTGGTTGCTGAGTAAAGGAACAACATCAGCAAGAGTGGAAGCTTCGTTTGGGTGATTTGGGGATGAAACATGGTGATAAGAGATCTGGCAGGAAGGAAGTGCAGCGTGTGGTGAGAAGGGCAGATTCTCAGAGTGTCGTACTTGGAGTATAATACAACAGATACTCAGGGGGGACAGAGTATCTTCTGGAGATGGTTTGCAGCTGGAAAACACAGGCAGCCATTTGAAGCCAGGTCGGTGGCGCAGAATAGACCCTTTCTCTTCAAGCCATGCTGCTGGAGCATTGTCTCCTCTGCAGGACGTATAAAGTGATGGAGCGTGTACTGGAGTGTGCAGTCCCCAGCAGGGTTGGGAAGGGCAGGACCAGGCTGTGCATGGGTCCAGGCTGGATTTCCTGGGTGGGCTCTGAAGGACCTCTGTCTCAAATCACCCCCTGCTGCTTATTGTTGGGAGTGAGCCTGTTACTCTGCTGAAAACCCTTCCAAAACAGGGAGGGCAGAAACAGTCTGGGAAAGCAAATACTTTCTGATAACGGTGAGCAACAGTGCAAGCTTTTGTTTGCAGTCAATGGAAGGAAGTGGGAGAAACATGTAATAGCTCTAGGACAGCACAGGCTTTACTGCTGCAAAAGAGATTTAGTGCACACACTCATCTAGTGGGTCATAGGAGAGGAGATATCCATAAGGAGAGGCCACATGGAATTGGTGGGAAAGGCAGAGCTTTTGTTTTGCTGCAGCTGTGCACCTGTGTGAAGCAGATGCTAAAGAAGTTCTGTGACCAGTGAGCCAAAACAGGAATGCAGGTCCAGGCTTACATGGCAAATGGGAGCTGGGGAGATGAACTCATTGGTTTGTAGTCAGGACAAAACTGAAGCAACTGTGCTTTAAATTAAAGGGAGGACTCAAGAGAGCCTTCTCTACTCAACTGACAGTGATGATACAGAGTGAACCAGCTCTGATCTCTGTTCTGTGGAAAGATTCTTCCTACTGAAAGACTTGAGGTTGCGTAAAAAAAAAACCAATGCAAAAAGCTCCCCTACAATTGCTATTCAATTTTGAAGTTTTACCTTAAGGCATGCAGGCATGTTCTTACTCAAGCAGGGATCTTATTCTTTGTGTTGGACCCACTCTTAATGTTAGGAAAAAAAGTGCCTTTCCTATAAAAAGGCACTCCACCGCCCTCAGAGGCTTGTTTATTGTCAACTTCCCTTTTCCAAGCTTTTTTACACAGTGAAGAGTTCAGCTGTCCTTTAGTAGGATGCATTCAGCTCTCCCAGATTTTGATCTTTGAACAGGAAGATTCATTTCCCAAGCTGCTGAGGAAATCATCATTCTGCTTGCAAGTGCCTTTTGTAGCAGTTAACTGAAATTTTGTGTTTCTAAGTGAACTGTCTAGTTGTTGCTTTGTTGGGTGAACATTAAAACATTTTTAAGACAAATGTATCTTTCAAGTTCAGAATAGTTTTGGGTTCTTTTTCTTTAGCTGAGCATGTCTTCGGCTAAGACTGCATCTTAAAATGTAGGTGACACTTGAGTTGTGTTTGTTTTTTCCTGGAGAGAACATAATTTCCTGCTGCTTTTCTGGATGGCCTTACATGGCTCTCCATCATACCAAATGCTTGTCTTTATATCACTGTCACAAGCTCTCATGTACTTAAGGTCTCCCTCTGCTTTTGATCTCATTGCAAAGCAAGGTCCAGCTTTCACTGGAGAAACCCTTCTCAATCATTTCCATTAGTAGACTTGAGCCTGCTGTGTCCCTTTTGACTTGCTTTTATTCCACTTCCATTGCTGTCCATTATGCACATCAGAAATGCTG